ATTACTAATGACGCTGTACCAAACAATGTGATAATATCACGAATTATAGGTACCAACTCGGAGGCACTAAGACTTTTGAGTTTAGTTAGTATGCAAAATTTGGTGAACCCATCTACTACGAGTAAAATATATTTATAGCCTTCAGGTGATCGTGAAAAAGGGGCAATTTAGTCGCTTGGCAATAGATTCCTTTATAATACTACAACTGGCTCCGGTATCAATAATACAATTCAATGATATGTCATGGATAGACACTTTGGTAAATATTATATTAGTATCATTAGGTAAGTCATTAAGGGGCGAGTATAGTCAGATTTTAGAATTAGTGTCACTCGATAGTGATTTTTGCTTTTCAGAGTAAATTTTTTAAAGAAGCAAGATGTTTCGTCATGACCGATTTTTTTTGCAAATGGTACATTTTTTTACTACGGGCTCAGCAGAAGGATCTTTTGTATCTTTTATTTTATTCGGACACTGTGGCCTTAAGTGTCCTTTATCACCACAATTAAAACATGTCTTTGTTAACGAAATATCATTTGAATTAATTATGGGCTTAGACCGTTTTAAATCATTGGTATTACGCAAAGTTTCAGGAGTTTGGTCAGCAGGTCGTTTTCGAGTTGTAACATAAGCTGAGAACAAAGCTATCAATCAGTTCCGAGGTGGTTTTGACGCTACTATTGAATGATGCCATTTTTACATTTATGTCTCGTATCCCTCCACAAACTAATTCAATAAGTTGGACTTCAGTGAATACTATTTTGGTGTTTTTCAATAACCTCAATATTTCCCTAGCGTACTCACAATATGAATCTGCTAAATCTGATAAATATGTAACGGCTTTATATAATTTTTCCGAAAGGTTCTTTTTTTTCTAGGTATAACGAAATTAATTCACTCCGAAAGTTCTCCCAATTACGACCTTCTTGGGGCTCCCAAGTCTCGTACCAAGTCAAAGCAGAGCCCTTCAGGGCCTTACCTGCCTTTGCAACTTTTGCTATCCTGCTCCATCCAAACTCTTCCCCAAGCTTCTCAATGTGGTCACACCATATAGCTGCGCCATTATCGCTGGTGGATGGATCGAACGTCGGCAGCGCTACATCGTCCTGACGTTTATTGTTGGAAAGAACATCACGGATGGCAGTGAGCAATCCCTCGAGGATGTGTTTATCAATTTTGTAAACCTGAAAATATTTCAAAAGAGCATTGAGAATCAATCCCACTTCTGATGTTATATAACTTTTAATATATCTTCAAAAATAGAAAGATTACTTACGTTAAATAATGGCAAGACTTATATGCGACACTTCCATAATATGAGTATCAAAATAAAACTAATAAAATGAAGATGATGTATATTTATTTATGTAAAACAAAATTATTTGGCTTCATACTAATTAAAATCATATTAACTAGTATTTACTTACTTATTATTATATTTTATGTACATTATGTACTAGTTATGTATAGATTAAATATTAATAAAATCTACCCACGTCTAATTAAATACATCTTTATTTATTTTGTATTAATATAACACAGTACATAATACATAACATTACATAATTACATAATGTACATAATTCAGCTATTTACTAGTTTATTAATATCACATAACACAATACTTAACTTCCAAAAGTGAGTAGGTCCGCACCAGTCAACAGGCTGACATAGAATGGTGCTCTGACCTTGTCAGCCGTACTTATAGCCACAGCCCCACCAATAGCAATACGTCACAACACGTGTTCTATGATTGTTTAAACAACTAATATTTTTGTAAATTACTTATACAATATGTAATTTTATTATAAATCTATAAATACGTTATATAATTAATTACAAGTGAAAATATTGAAATTTTAATCGATCTAATTATTATTATTTTATAACAAATGCATCATGCAGCACATCAATCTTAAAAAACTTAGTGACGCAAGGCTCAAATTTTGACTTGATGTATCAGAATAATTAACTTCTTAAAATCCTAATTTTATAAATTATACAATGAGATTTGGACTTTTGGTATAACATTTTTTTAAAATAGGTTTCAGATTAATGGGTCACTGTCTAATTCAACGTAAAAGTCCTTGGAGTAAGTTCATGTTCAGCAATTACAAATGTATGAGTTGTGGCACTTGTGGTCGTGACTAACATAATGTTAATGATGATGATGACAACATCATATCAAAAAAGAAGAAGAAAATTTCCATTTATGCGAAGTGAAATTGGTAATTAACAATAACAGTTATTATTTTTTCTTATCGAAAGAACAGAAACAATAAACCTAACGATCTACCTACATTGTTAAAATTCAGGTACCTACAAATTATATGAGACGTTCTAGTTTCTCGTTCATATTTTACTGTGCTACCTGTTTCAGTGTTGTAGAAGGTAGCTTTGAAAAATGACAGCTCTTCAGCTATTGATAATAATTTCATTATTTTGTTTAAAAGATGCGAACTCTAAACTGGCTTCACTGGTAATTTATTTTACCTTAAAATATCTTTACTATTTTGGCTGTTTTAACAACGTTCATTTTTTTTCAGCACCCCGTTCTGGTGGCCCGGTCTTCTCTAGATTGGATGCCGAGCAGAGTTAATTCTCTTTATTCCGATGTCGGAGCTTGGAGCGGAAAATTTGTATGTTTGAAATCAATTTTAAAAACATAATAAGTAAATACTTTTTATTTACAAAAAAAAAATACAAAACCATATTTTACTTTTCAGAGACCAGTGATGGATGAGATTGAATCTGATGAAGCATTAAGATTTTATCAATTTTTGAACTACTTGGACGGGTCCAGTTTTGGAACAGGTATTGTCTTATACATAATCATATCAAAAAACTTTATAAAATATTAAATTTTTTAATGGCTTTTCAATTTTAGGCCCTATTGATGAATTTGTGGAGGCTATGGGTAGGCTAGCGAATTATATGAAACAACAAAACAGCAGAGAAACACAGGCACGTGGTATGCGAGAACTTGAAGCAATTAATGGCGAAAAGGGTAAATAATGAGTTTATATATTGCCCCACCCGTTTGTAGTCAGTATTTGTCGACCTCTATCAATGAGCCTGGGAAGCCAAGTGCTGATGGACTAATGGCCCGGTTAAGTTGCAAACTGCTTTAGTTTAAAAACTGTCAAACACCAAGCGGTCACCGGTGACCGCAACCTATTGTTCTTTAATTGTGTCTACAAAACCGGTACTCGACGAGTTAAGTTGCAAACATTAATGATGAGCCAGTGGCCTTTGAAAAATAACATTTGGTAATATCGTATCGATTGTCTTTCTTATTTTTTACGAAGTTTAACCATCATACGTTGTATATATTATGTATATTATTGTAGGAAACAGTATCAAAACAGTTCTGGAAGTTAGTACTTTAATCATGAGGAAAAAACGAAAGTTCTTTTGCACTGGTGAAGTAAAGGAGCCAATAGTCAACAATAAAATTATTTGTAAGGTAGTATATCTGATCTATTCTTTTTATTATAGAAGGGGTCGTTTGATTGAACACGCTTACCTCCGAAAGTACTGAATCAAATTGAATAATTCATTTACATTCGTTTTAAAGGTCATGATATGGTCATAGGGAGCAAGTAATGAAACCGTGCTGGAATAGCAACTCAGATATTATCTAATGGGGGCTAACGTTTTTTTACTCATAAGCTGTCAAATAACGAATGTCCAAGTCTAAAAATGTGACACCAGCTTATTCCCCATTGAATGAAGTACTAACGGTAACAGATAATGAAATAAAACAAGTTTGTCTTTCAACAGGACAGAATATTACTACCTATCGCAGGTGATTCTTGTAGAGACGCTATTATGTACTGGCATCCAGATTTAACAGAAGAACATTATTGTGTCGGTGCACTAGAAGCAAAAAGCGCCGTGCACATTATGGATATCGAAGGTAAGTTTTAATATCATAAGTTAGTGTTATGATTACGATCGTAAACTGAATTTGAAAACTACAAATTATTCATTATGTTTCCAGGTGAAATATTCTGTAAAGGAGATGATTATTCAAAGCGAGAGTATCTCTTAGCTTGTGATTTTTATGAAGACCAAGAGGCTCCTGTGGCTGATCTACTTCAATACTATCCAGACCCTGATCCAGAAATCACGCCTAAAATGTTCTAATAAAATAGAATTTTTGAAATTAAAGTGGTTTTGAAAATTAATTTCTTTGCAGTACTATTTGGATTCCATAAATAAATAAATATTTGGATTCCATAAAAGTTCTCTTAAGTCACTGTCGCGAATTAAACTAACGTTTATTAATACCAAGCTTCAATTTCCCATTTTATATAATGGGGAATCTTGTATTCCTGCTCACCAAATGGCGCTAGTGTGCACCTCGTTCTTCGTCCTATAGGAAATAAACTAGTGTCACATCATTGGACGTTGAATATTTGACAGCTGCTGTGATTGGACAAACAATGCGCCATCTGGTGAGCACTAAATGGAAGTCCCTATTATTTAGTCATCGGGGAGCTTTTATTAATTAATATTTAAGTCTATATATGTAGTAATCTATATATCGCACCTACGGTGCAATATCGTCACTTATGCAATTTTTGTCAAACCTTAACTGATGAAAGAGTACTCTAAATTCACCTCTTTACTTCGTGCGTTATTTATCGTCATTTGTGTAGTAAGCAAACTGACATTGTGAGGGCATTACTGTCGTTACGGTTTTGGCGCTAATCTGGACGGCACTAGGAAAAACAACGTTTCATTGTTCAGTTGCGCGCAGGACCCCGCAATACATAAGTGACGGTATAGCACCGGAGGTATGAAAGAATACTCCAAATTCACCTCTTTACTTGGTGCGTTATTTATTGTCATTTGTGTAGTAAGCAAACTGACATTGTGAGGGCATTACTGTCGTTACGGTTTTGGCGCTAATCTGGACGGCACTAGGAAAAACAACGTTTCATTGTTCAGTTGCGCGCAGGACCCCGCAATACATAAGTGACGGTATAGCACCGGAGGTACGATGTGTACCAAATAAATACTAAGATTTATGAACTAACAACGAAAATAATAGTCATTAACATAAAATTTAAAAATATACACATCACGTTGGCTGTATGTAGTGATGCCTTAGCAAGTCAAACTGACAAGTATATAGTAACCCCGGCACCACCCTAATTTTATTGATTTTCTTGTCAGCCATCATTGACAGATGTGAGACTGAGACACGATACGAAAGGTCGACGGGTCAGTAAAAATGTATTTTTGCTGTAGATTTTAGATGTCCGTCATGGTTTTTGCTCTTTGCCATTATATGCTATATGCTATGGTTTTGTTTGTATGCATGTAAGTTAATTTTGTTCACATTAAAATTGTTCTGGCTAAGTCAAAATATGTTGCCGTTGTTGCTATGTTTGTCGCATTTCTAATGATTTGTTTTTGTGTTGTATTTGGCGAAATAAAGTTATATAATCGGTAAATGCGTCGTTAGTAAAATAATAAACATTTGCTAGGCTTTTCATTTGGGGTGGCCATTTTTGTTTGTTCCTCAATGAAGGGTTTTAAGTACCAATTTTATGAAGAGTTTATGTTTATTCATTTAAAGCAATGTCTTATCTTACCCACAAAAAATTCGACATGAACTAATATATATTTCGCCAGAGATAGCTTTTGTTTTTATTTTTTTTTGTAGTGCGTAGAAGATTTTTTGTACCGCTGTTAGGCTGTCGTTTATAATATTCTTATCTGCATTGGATGCTCATAGGCAATTGTGTGGTAGGTTTGTGAAATAGTCATTCATAGTTACAGTCGGCTTGTAAGGCATGATTATAATAGACAGGCATGTTTACCGATATTGTCGGGGAAGTCACTTGAAAATGTTAAACAAATCAGTTCACACCATGAGTATAAGGTAAGGCAACAGCATAATAGGCAAAGAATTATTATCTATTATGCCATTGTCTTACTGGAGGTGCGTGCAAGAGAAATGTAATATCCTATGTATTAATTTTACATAGGTACAGTATAATATCAATCACAAATATTATCATTCTGTGCATAAGAATTTACAACTTTTTTTACGGCATAAGCTGGTAAACGAGCAGATGGATGGTCCGATGATAAGCAATTGGTACAGGCCATGAACATCTAAAACACCAGAGGAGTTACAAATATGTTACCGGCCTTTGGATTTTAGAAATTTGAGGATTCGGGATATAATTGGGCCTCCAGTCACCTCACTCGCACAACGACTCCTAGTTAAATACCTATGTATAAGAATGATATTTCATGTGATTTTTAATTTGCTGTAGAAGTTCTTAATTGCATCTGCTTGTTATGAATGAACGCAATGTTGTTGTAGTTCAGTAGGTCCTCGGTTTAATTTGTGTGATAAAGTATTATCGAAATTTTCTAGTGCTACAGTCAGATACAAAGCAGTAAAACTGCACAAGAATGACTTTGATGCAAAAATCCCCTAGTAGGTGTGAACTCTCAATTCACTAAGAAAATACTGGTAACAAATTAATTATATAACCATCATTATAGACACAATTATAGAACAATAGATTGCGGTCACCGGTGACCGCTTGGTGTTTGACAGTTTAAATGTGTGTAGTTTAGCAGAACATCATTTTTATAGGTACATTATTATATTGCAAAAAAATTGAACTAAATTAGAATTAAAAATCAGCATAGACTGATCAAACTAATTATAACTGAAAGGCAAACAAAATACAGGCAAAATATCAATTAGAAAAGATATTGTTATGTATCTAATTATTTATTTGTATACATCTGACATTGCAGTTGAATTATTGAATGTCTTTAAAGTGTTAAAAAGCCCTCCCATGACTTTAAAAAGTTCAAAATTGCGATAAAGATGAAATTTTAGCAGTACAATTCATAATTTATGTTATAATTGAGTGATATGGAGATTTCGATGGGCGCCATTACGAGACACGCTATGTCTAAAAAATCGATTGGCGCGCCAATACTACAGCACATTGCATTCGCGCATATCTACTGCCTAACTAGTCAATCAGATTTTTGAATCAGTACAGTATTAATTAGTACGGTAATTAGTATTCACGATGATATACTTTTAACTGATTTTCGAATTAGTGTGCAAAGTGAGTGTGTAAAGTGATTTATTGCTAAATAGCATTGTGTCGCGATAGCGCCATTTCATTTTACTGCTGCGCTGCGCGCCGCGCGGTCCCGCCATTTTCCTGAGCTACGTGACTCTTGTTCGTTTTTAAGTATTTTGTATTGCCAATATTAATGAGGTTCCTTACTTTAACTATTAAGCCTTTCCTATTTAAGTAACTAATGCTGATTTAATACCGATTGTTTTTTAAAAGGTGGTGATAAAATGGAAAAATAAATTGATTTTAAACTCATCACCCAATCTTTTCAGGTTTAATGATATTTGCCTATTAAGTACCTACATTACATAAAAGTATAAATTGGCTGTTAGGTACATGAAAAAAATTAAATATAAGTTTTGCTTTAAAATAAAATAAAAGTAAAAGTGTAACAAAAGCTTTAAAATCCTGAAATATTATAACAAACCTTATAGGCACAGGCACCTAGTAATTAATTTAAGCCGTTTATTGGGTTCTTTTTAAATATTTTGCACTTTATTCATTCAACCGAGCACCAAAATATCAGACAGCGGAGAACTGGGTTTATTGTGAATGTAACTCTGCCAACCGAGTAATAAAACAAGCCTAGGATTGAATTTTATAAGTAAGGCAATAAGGTTCGCATTGTCTTAAACTAAGAAATAATGCAGGAGTTATAATATTAAGCTCCATATTGTAAATCTCCATTTTGAATACATTTCTCTAGCTCGGGAATAAGGCAAGCCTTGCGATTAATGCTTTCCACTAATAAAACTAGAGCTTATAGATAACAATAATAGAGTGAACTAGTTGAATACAAGCACAAGTTACCTAGAAATACTATTAAGATGACAGTTTGCTTCGGTAATAGTATTTAAAATAATAATGATTGAAATTTAATAACAATATTAATATTAGATGAGTGATTGAGCTTAATAGATGAAACAAAATAGAATGAGACATTGCTTTTGGGTCTATGCACACATCGAATACTTCATTGCATTATATTAAGCATGTCACACAGCTACATGCCCACATTGTTATGTGATATTATTAGCAACACATCATCTAGCTGAATTTGGGGAAAAAAATAAAATAATTAAATATTTCAACATAAAAATGATTTTGTTTCAGGATGCAAAACTAACAACAGAGCAAATTCCATGTCTCCAATAAATTAAGCATAACAATAGCATATACCGAGGATATTAGTAATGCATGTACACGTACAGAATGCTCTTATAAAACTTGTAGTAGCTAGGCTAGTTTGAAAATATAAATATGATTTATATAAATGTAATACATATACGTAGAAAGCTATGCTGAAATTGACAAATAGTGTTTGCAGATATTTAGTGTTTAAATGTGAGAAGGTTCACAAGGCTCATGTGAGGAATATCTCACAAATAACTAGTAAGTGGAAGCCATGTGGTACCGAATGTGTGAGCATAAAAGTAACTGCACAGTTCCATTCGACCCAACAGTTGCGACAACACGGCCACGGGAAGAAACGGCTGAAGATTAAAATTCCGCCTTTGGCCTCTAATGAAACTCGCGAAGTTAGAGCGATGAGTCATCCAACGAAGCCGTCACGGCAGCACGCCAGCTGTGGGGGTGACTTCGAAGTGTAAGGCCTAAATTATACATATTTTTCATAAAATATCCTTTATAATATTATAAACAAAAAGTGTGTTTATTATTTATTTCACGTCGCAACGAAGGGATGTTATGGTAGGTATGATTTTTCTCTGGAGATACAGGAGGCTGTAGAGTGATACACTATTTTTCTCTTCGCAGGTGAAGCGCTATTGGTGGTGACAGGCAGGTTAAAATTGTGTATCAAAATAATTATGTGTTTTAGTGCTACGGAAAGCGATGACGATTGGTGGCAGTACACGAGGGAGGCGGGATACACGGGTGACGGCCGGACACACAATATTCCCCCGGACTTCAGGGTGTGGGAGGTTTTAGGACAAGGGCACGATCCTAGATACGGTATTTATTTATATTTATACGGTTCTACTCTGATTAAAATACAATAACAGTTTCATATTTAGCATTTAAAATTAAAGTTCGAAGTCAATGCAGTTGCAAATAACCGCCAGCCACTTTTTGGAAATTCTATTTTTGTTCCAGGCCTTTTGCAACTACTTTAACTGAATTTTAGTAATATACTTCGATATAATATAATATTGTATAAGTGCCTCAATCACAAGAACAACTTATAAACACTATTCTAGTGTTAGATACTTAAAAGTACCTTTAATGACTAATATTGTTGTCAACAGGGGCAACTTTTACATTCAAAATTCTATCGTACAACGTTTTGGCGCAGTATCTATTAGAGTCCCATCCTTATTTGTACACGGACTGCTCCCCTCGCGACCTCAAGTGGAAGATCCGTGCCGCCCGCCTGTATGATGAAATAACTCGTATGGCTCCAGACGTAAGTTGATTATATCCTTATAACTTAGTAACCTACTATTGTTTTATGTTTTCTGTCAGGCTGTAACATTTCAAAGATTGACTGCACGGTTGGTGTGGTGGCTGGGCAACCAGCTGCCTAAACGTGTCGCGGGTTCGATTCCCGCACGGAACAACACTTTGTGTGATCCACAAAAAGTTGTTTCGGGCCTGGGTGTCATGTGTATATGCACTTGTATGTTTGTAAACGCACCCACGACACAGGAGATAATTCTAATGTGGGGCAACGTTATAAAAATGGTTTCTGGTCAGTAATTAATTATACCTCTATAGTTTTAATTAGGCATGAACATGAAGTAAAACTCAGGAAATAAATTTAATACCTACTTAAGTTTTGATTATGTTTAAACTATTGATTTGGAAGATTGTGACAGGAAGGTAGCTGAAAACCCTTACTAATCCTTACTTCCTTACTAATATTATAAATTGGAAAGTGAGTTTGTTTGTTTGTTCCGCTTTCACGCCGTAACTACTAAACCGATTGCTTTGAATTTTTGCAGACGTAAAGTAAGAAGTCTGGATTAAATAATAGGGTACTTTTTATCCCTCAAAAATTTGTTATTCCCGAGAGAAAACCAAAGTATTGGTATAGATGGCGCTGTGAGTATTGGCATATGTCAATGTCACATAGGCTACTTTTTATCATTTTGTGACGCGACCGATGCCGCGGGTAAAAGCTAGTAAATAAATAAATATATATAGGATTCTCTACCTCTTCAGAGTTGACATCAGCACATTCATTTTAGTTTTAAAAAAATGCCGGCGTGATTTAACGTGGTCTATATCCTTGTTTGTTCTAGGTAATATGTTTGCAAGAGGTCCAAGTATCACACTTGGAAAGCTTTTACTCTAAGTTTGAAAAGATTGGTTATTTCGGCGTAGTAAAGCAGAAGACGGGCCATCGTCAGGACGGGTGTGCAATCTACTTTAAAACATCGATGTTCCAATTGACGGACCATGTGCACGTAAGTTGATAAATTACTTATACTTTTTAACTTTTACATTGAGGTCAAGGCTTTAGTAAACCATTTCGTACCTTTGTTTTTTTACGAACCATCGTAGTACATGCTCAACGGCTTCCTAAGTGCGGTAATTGAGCTATGCGTAGTAATAATTTTATTAATATTAGTCCTCTGTAATATGTTTGGTACTATAATTATGTAAGTGCATAATTTATTAACTTATGCTCTGCGACTCATATTATTATTATTTTGACATTAATGTTAGCTGCTAGGCCTGCTAGTTATAAAACTGCGAGTGTATGCGTTAGTTCTGTTTTCATTTTGTCTTTAATGTTTCATATTTATAGTGTTTTCATTGGTAATGGAATTCTTAACTGGCGGTACATCTGTGCATACCACTTCAATTATTAAAAGGTGTGATGTTGTATCAGTTCTGTGAATATAAAAGCTTTTTGAAAATTGACACGCCTGTTTATGCCACAAAAGCCACGGTGCCTACTGCGTTGTCTGATGTTATCTGCGTTTGCATAACAAAGGCTCATCCAGTCACAACTGACATTGTTCCAAAAATCGTGTCACAGTTCAAGTTCGTAAGACAAATATTTTTTGTCGCCAGGCACACATTTTCCTTGTTACTTTTCCTCCCAAATTTTCCAAGACGGGAACTTTACAATAGAATATTACAATCCGTCTCAAGGTTGGGAATCATTTGAAATAGGTACAAGGTTTCGCCTTATTATACCCACCCACAAATACCATTAATAGGTACAGAGGAAATCGTAATTTGGTTTCAAACAGATGAAGTTTTTTTACTGAAATAAGCCGGTAAACGAGCAGACAGATCGCCTGATCAACAAGCAATCGGCGCCGCGCATGGATAAACTCCAGCGGTGTTATAAGTACGTAACCGGCCTTTTGCAGTTAAGAATTTGCGGATTGTTGGGGATTCGGAGATTGGGGAGGGGGATAATTGAGCCTCCGATAACCTCACACGACGAAACTCAACGCAAGTGTTGTATTGTTAATCGTCGGTCTTCTGTAAGACCGTGGTATTACTCCGGTCGAGCCGCCACGTTCGTGCTGAAGCATGGCTCTCCCACACTTAATTAAAAATATGTGATCATTTTGAACCCTCAAATAATTTTTAAGGGCTTAATTTTTTAATAAATATTTTAGGTTTATTTTTCGAATGCATACTGATTGAAAAAATATATATCCATGAACATCCATCCACCATTAACACTTGGTATTACTGTGACGCATTAACATTATCAGAGAAATACATTTATTGTTGTATCTAATGGGCATGCGCAATAGGATATAAAATATGAATGAAATCTTTATCTCCAGATATAAGCGACGCTAGGGCTATCTGTCTCCAACTCTGTTAACTGATACATGCGTAGTCGCCTACCTATATAATACTATATCTAATCAATAATACCAGTGATTATCTAGGATAGAATACATTCTTTATTAGGTATGTCCTATTCTCAGTATGAATACGATAGGTAGTAAGTTTGTCTTTCTTTAGCATCTTTCTCTCTCGAAAGGCTGGCAACACATTTGTAACTTCTCTAGAGTTGCCAATGAGTGGCGGCTGTACCTTGCCATCAGGTGTTCGTTACGTTCTCTACAATCGTTTTAATTACGACTTTCTTGTACTTAATTACAAAAAACTGCAGTTATAATAAAATTTGTTACTACCTATTTTTTATGACGAACACACCATTAGTTAGCCCTGTTAAACCAAGTTTATAGTATAAACTATACATTTGTAATTGGTTTACATAACCGCCTACGTAACTGCTACTTATCAATAATATTATTTACTAGAGTGTAAATAAAATGTAGTAAAAGTATTAAGTGTGGGAGTACCATGCTTTGGTATGAATGCAATGAACTGGCTCGACCGAAGTAATAACGGCTTCACAGGAAACCCGTGTGAATACTGGCGTTGGTTGGCCATGTGAAAGAGAGCACGTCCAATTCCTCCTTTTCCCAATCTCCCCAAATGCCCAAAATGCTGGCAACGCACTTGTTTCTATTTGTCCATGGGCGGCGCCGCGCCATATGAGTCCCAAGTAATAGGGGCGAGTCTATTGCCAGACAAAATTTAACTAAACAGACTTCATGTAACTACATTGCTTTTATTTAATAACGTTTAGGCTCTAGACAGATTGACCGAATTTCAATTGCAAACCAAATGTACAGTTCTATTGCAGTCATGACACAACTGCATTGAAACGGCATCCGAACTGTAATTTGCGGTTGAAATGCGGCCCGTATATCTAGAGCCTTTGGCAAATTGCTGCATAATTTTATTCTGCAACATAATCACATAATGATATGGGACATAATAGTATTCTGGCAGGCGATGACAATGATTAGGTTTTGATTTTTTATAATTCATCCCCCTTTTTTCATCTTTCGCAGGTGGAATTTTTCCAACCGGAATTACCGATCTTGAACAGGGATAACATCGGGGTGATGGTAAAATTATTGCCACATGATCGTCCATGCACGCCCATCGTGGTGGCCACCACCCACCTGCTTTACAACCCTAAGAGAACTGATGTCCGCATCGCGCAGATGAAATTATTTTTGGCCGAAATTGATCGCTTTGCTTACTTTAACAACGGCCGAGAGTAAGTTTATAACTATTTTGAACTTATTGATCGTTTATTTATTGAACTATTTGTTCGTCTAAACTATGACTTGCTTGCAATTGGAGAGTGGCCATGATGTGTTTGGCTACTAGCTGGTAATAAGAAGTTAAAAATTTCTTACTTTATGAAACGACTCACTTCTATTTAATGGGATTAGTAATATAGCTAAATAAACCCGTACATATATAATGTTGTGTGTATTTACTTTGTTTCCAGATGTGGTCACCTACCCATTATACTGACAGGTGACTTTAATTCCACCCCCGACAGTCCAGTAGTAAAGCTATTGGACAGAGGCCGCGTAAGGTACGTTGTATAAATGCAATATTATTCTGAACCTCGATCTCTGGGCTGGACTATTCGAAAATTCTCTGCAATAGTACAGAGTATGAAATTGTGCCCGGTGTACAGCAGCGCTCTGATAAATTTTACCTTACGTAAGTGAAAATGACAAGTTACTCACGTAAATATACTGAGAAAAGCTCTATTAATTTCGAGGCACAGAGGGACTCTTATTCTTGAGGAGCGTGCGCAGCCTAATCGCTGTCATGTTTAGTTTACTCAGTACGATTCACGATAGATAATAGAAAAACAAACTTAACTTTTTTAATTAATTGGCGAGGTGCTTAGTGCCGTCTCTTATATATACGAGATTCATTAATTAGTCCAGAAATGAACTGTTATGGGAAGTTTATTAATGGGTTGTCTTTCCACAGCGTGGGCCAATTCCGAGATGGTTCCGATTGGCGGCGCATAGCCGTGACGGACAACTGCCAGCATCTGTCTGTTATCTTG